GGGCTCTTCTCACTGAGGCTGCGCTTGGGGGCTACAGAGGGGCCACCCCAAATTTCACTGTAGATCCCTCCCAGAGCTGCCACCACTACCTGCCTGCCCGGTGCAGCCCTGGCTCTTCCTGGAATGTGGGGGGAGGCGGGGATTGAGCCGAGGTGCACACATCAGCAGGAGCCATCCCCCTCCATCCACACTCCCCAGACGAGCTGCTTGCGGCTGTCCTGCACCCCGCCCCGCCCTGGCTGAGCAGTGCCTGCCCCAGCTCCACTCCCTCCCTCACTGCGGGGGCCTTGATCTGCCCCCCCAATGCCCTTTTTCACCCCCCACCTCTCCCCCACACCAGACTTACCAGCCAGATGCTACTCTCCAAGCTGCTGGGCTGTGCTCCTGGCCACATGCATGCTGCAGCTGTGCGCATGCACGGGGCATTTATCGGCCACATTAGGCAAAAAAGCCAATTTCCGATACTGTCAACTTTCCCTATGTTGGTGACTATCTGATATGGGACCGATGTATCAGTGCACCTCTAAAAATTGCAAAATTTTGTCTCACTTTACCTGTTGAGAGTATGTGGACTGACTGAAATGCACTGAAAAAAATTCAAATATTGAGTTTTTTATTGAATTCAATCTATGAGACCGAGAATATTGTATGGACCCTGTTATAAATACATATTGTATTAATTTAATAAAAAATATTTGTATATGTTTCCATCTGTCACAGATTTCAATGTACTTCAGAATGTATCATATTGGGGCTGCAGCCATAGGGAAGAATTGCTGAGGAGTATATGGGCCCTGACCATATCAAATAGATTTCTGCAAATGAAAAAGACTTTTCACGCAGAAGGTAGGGATTTGGTTATATTAGGTAAAGATTGCAAGTGTAAGGACACAAGCAGAATTGCTATTCTACAGAAATCTTTTATTATATTTTCATACTGGCGTGGAATACTGTAATATCAGAGTACAAACCATAAGAAAAATCAATAAACAAAAATACAATAGGCCTGCAGTCTCATTTTTCTCCTTACTGGCTAGAGGAGAAATGGTACCCTGATTTTCTCTATTCTACTCTTCTCTCCATCAGGGATTTTAATGATGTGTGATCAGGCCCTAATTCTACCCTTATGCTAGCAAAGTTCACCCTCAGGTTAGGCAGTTAGTTTTGCTGGAATAAAAATGCTAAGTAGAGAGAGAACTTCTGATTTGATAATTTGGCCATTAATAAAATCAGAACCTAGGACACTAAATGTTTTAAATAAGTACACTATTCTCAATGAATTTACATACTGTTGAGATGAATTATACATATTCAATTTGAAATTAAAGTAATTTTTATGGGGCTTTTAACTATTTTGATATTTGCAGGGAAAGAAGTATAGTAACTAGTCAAACAGAAATGTACAGAGGAATTAAGCTACAGAGTGTATATTTAATTTATTTTATAAACAAAAGATGACTGTAAGTCTAAATTATTAATAAAAGTCCTTACAGGAAAGAGCACTTTCTCGGGCTTTGCCAATATAGAAAATAATCATGATTTTCCCCAGAGAAGGGCAGTCAGTTTTTCCAATATAGCAATTTCATGCGTCAAAAACATGGATCAATCTCCAGTTAAAACTTCCAGAAAAACAATGAGATGCACCTAGCTCCATAAATTAGATGAGCAACCGGCTTTGCAAAGCTTCCCCCCGCCCAACTTTAAGCATCACAAAAACTGTTTGGGTCTAAAAATATCAGCCACCCACAGATGATGCACTTGCCTTTCAAAGGAAGTTGTGAACAAGGTCCCCAAAATTGGGGTATATCCGGTGGGGCAAAGGTTGGCAATGTTTTCCAGTGGGGCTCTGAGACAAGCAGATACTAGAAACCATCTGGCTTGCCCCTTTTCCTTGCTGCCCAAATGTGGCGCTGTGCAGAGAGAGCTCTCCCCTCTGGTGAAGCCTGGTACTTGATTGCCACCAAAGCTATGGGTCCATGGAATGGATCCAAAGGCTCCTCAGGCTGGATCTAGCCCATGGACCCTAGGTTTCCAACCCCTGCCTTGGGGCAAGCAGCCACCCTATCAGTAAATTACTGGTTTAACATTTAAGCGGTCTGTTCCAATTAGCCAAGAGACTTTGATAAGAGACCTTCCTATTTTGATGTAAACTAAATTATGATACAACATAAAAGATGATAAAGTTACTATTTTATTTTTTACAACAGACTCTCCAAAGCAAGGCTCTTCGACAGCTTGACTCAAGATTAAGTTTTTGTCTGAAGCATTTTGGAACCTGAACCTAATGCACAGACCGAGTCAGAACCATGAAGAGGTAGGGGAAAGAAGAGTTGGTACAGTCAAATAGTGGAAGAAAAATTGTTTCCTTAAATTTTTCAGACAGACCCTTGTGAACCTGATTCTAAATTCTTATGTAACAACAGAATGACCAGAATCCTTAGAGGGGAACACATGAAAAAACAATGAAAACTTTTTGAATATGAAGTTTCATTCTAACACGAAGTAGTTAGTTTTTATTTCTGTATTGACTTGTGTTGCCATTGCATTCATATGTGCAAAAATTAAGAGTACTTACCTTTGCTAATAAATCTCTGTTTATTTTGAAGTTCACTGTGCCTGGACCAGTGCTGATTTCACTCACTATTGTATCACAGTTTAGCTAAAAAACAAGCAAACAAACAAAACCCATAGAAACAAATGAATTGGAACACTGTCTTCATTAAATTACATGAATATTTATACTGGCGTGAAATATTTCAGTGGGCCATTTAATCCATCCTCCTTGTAAAAGTGAGAGATTAGTTTATTATTTCCAACCCATCCTTAATAAGTATCTAGCTGAGCCTTACATATGATACCTGTTTCTTTCTGTGATCTAGTCATTTTTTATAAATTTAACTGAAAGCAGTGTTTGATCTCGACAACGGTAGAGAGATATGCATAACACAAAATCAATATTAGTTACCAGTGTCTTGGAAAAAAATAGGAGCCCAAAGATTGGATCCAAAATCTTTACTTATGTTCTTAAATAATTGACCTGATTTTTATAAACATCAGCTCTCTGTTCAACCTGAAGCATCTGTTTGGGTCCCTGGTTGCTGGATGTTTCACATTCAGTTCAATTTATTATTATCATTACGGATTCTAGTTGAAAGCTGTGCTCCCGAAAATAACATAACAGACATAAAAACATAATATAAATTTAAACAAAAAGAACAGAAATGCAAATGTAATAATAAAATAGGGCCAACCATTATAAAAGCATTGTTCCTACCCCTAGAATTAATATAGTCAAGTACAAATATGGTGATAAATCAGATCATGAATCTATAAAACTGTTGTGCATAGGTCCACACTTAACATAGTAAAAAACAAATATAGTGATAAAGTTTATGAGTCATATCAACAGTAAAGGATGTTTAGCTCAGATCACTTCAGGGTGCTTCATATTTAAAACTTTAAAGCTTATTAGAGGCACCATGTTTTGAAAAATATTGGTTAAAAAAAAATAAAGCTGTAGAACATTTCCATTTTTGTAATGGCAATCAATCATTTCTCTTATAGTAGGGGTGTCAAACATGACCTGTGGGCTGGATCCAGCCCACTGACCTAAGTTAGTCCCCACTGCGGATTTTGCCCCAGCTTTGCCCATAGTGGTGAGACTACTTATGGCAGCAGTCAGGACTCGGCAGCGAGTAGCACTGAGTGACTCCACTGGCAGAAGCCCTGCCACTATGGCCAGAGCTAGGAGAAAAGACCCAGCTCAGGGGGCTCTGGAGCTGCCTCTCTCCCAGCAAAAACCAGGGTGCTGGCTGCTGCAGCAGAAAGGTCCACAGCCAGAGCTGACATTTTGGCTACCGTGGCAGGGCTTGCCTGTGGAGCTTCTGGGGATGCCAGCACCTGGATGTCACCAGTGTGCTGGCTGCCACCATGGGAAGCCCCACTACCATGGCCAGAGCCCTGGTTCTGGTCTTGGTGAAGGGGCTTCTGCCTCTGCTGCTGATGGAGCTGCCTGTGCCCCAGCAAGAGCAGTTTCTGCTGACTGTGCTGCACATGCTGAAACCCTTCTGCAGCTGCACCCTCCCCCTGCTCTCCATGCCTTCCAACACCAGGGTGATCCTGGTCTGGGGAAGGTGAAGGGAGCAGAGCCTGCTTCACTCCTCCAAATCCCAGAGGGAGAAGAGCAGCGGGGAAAGACTCCCTGCACCTGTCTAGACTGGACACAGCTTTGACCCAGTACCACAGGAAGAGGGGGGCAAATGAAAAATGGCAAAGGACAGCACTGCTCCTTGTACTCAGCTCCTAAGCCAGGGGTGGGCAAAATGCAGGCTGGGGGGCCAGATACGGCCCACCAGGCCATTCTATCCAGCCTACGGGGCCACTAAAAAATGTAGAAAATTAATATCAATCTGCCCTGGGCTGCCTGTCATGCGGCCCTTGATAGCTTGCCGAAACTCAGTAAGCGGCCCTCTGCCCAAAATAATTGCCCGCCCCTGTCCTAGGCCCTGGCAGCTGAGCAGAGGGAGCAGTGCTGCAAATCTTCTACACTGGGAACTCCAGTGCAAGAAGCAGATGGGAGCACCTGGCAGCTGCTCCTCTCCTCCCCTACTGGTCCCACTCAAATTCCCATTTGCTGGCCTGCTCACTGGTCTGGTATCTCTGACTGATGGAAATTTCTGATCTACTTTCTCTAGGCATTCCTTAACTTTATCATGCCCCACCTCATCCTTATCTTTTCAAAGATAAACAATATTTATCCTTTCACTCTCTTTCCATGTGAAAATTTTGTCAGGCCTCTGATCATTCTCATTACTCTCCTTCAAGCTACCTCTAGTTCTGTAATAGCTTTTTTAGGGCAGTGGGACTGGTATTCCATGCAGTATCCCAGATAAGGTTACTTAACAGCTTTACTTTCATAGTGCCTAGGAGCAGGGCCCCTCTATGCTAGCTGCCATTCAAAGAACAAAGTGTTTGCACCAAAGAGCTTACAAACTAAGGATAAGAAAAAGAGACAAATGTATACAGACAGACAAGGGAGCACAAGAAAAAATGTGCAGTGGGGCTCAGAATCCTAACCAATGTCTATCTTTTTGTTGGCACCAAACTGATAAGAGTTTTAAGGAAGGAGGTGAAGAGAGAAATGATGCAGCAACTCTACAGAGATTTATGGGGAGTTCCTTCCAAGCATGTGAAAAAGAACAAAGGTGCTTTTCTGAAAAAATTATCAAATGGGTGAAGTTTGGGAACATGGGATAAGAGGAGGGTCAACTTGACATCTCAACATTTAATTAGAAATGACAGACTGAGCAGAGATATGCTGTGATGGTGCCTGAAATTGAAAAATAGCTTATATTAGTTGCAGCAAAGAGGGAACCAGTGACGGGATGTAAAGAGAGAAGTGACTTGGTCAAAGTGGTAAACTAGGAAAATAATCTTTGCAGCAACATTCTGAATGGATATAAGCAAGGCAAGATGTCATCTGTCACAGCCAGGGAAAAGGATTTTTCAGTAATTAAAACACAAACTGATGGAGTTTTAAAAATAATAATAATTCTTCCTATCCACCATTACATTACTTGGGCAGCATTAGCATTTCTTGATAGCACTGACACACTGAGCAGAGGCATCTGTTGAATTGTCCAAAATGACACCCATATCCATTTATTGAGTTTATATAGTTAGGACCATGCAAACAATTTAAATATCCTCCCATACAAGCATTCATATACATTTACTGACATTGTGCTATTTACTGACGCTGGGTTTCATTAGCCATCATAGCGCCCATTCAGATAGTTCTAAAGTTTAAATAACCTAGGAGAAGTTCTTCACACTTATCTCAAGTCCTGGCTAAACTGAAATAACTTTGTCATTTGCCATTTTGCTCTTGCTACTCACCCCTCTTTCCCAAACATTATTAACTTAAACAATAAAGGTCCTAATATACAACTGTAAAACACCACATTTAATCTTACATTTGGTTTATCTTCTAGTCAGCTGCTGATCTGTGATAATACTGTACTTTGCCTCACACCCCAGGATTACTTAACCTGTTTCACCCCATAATTACTCAGCTTCTTTAGCAGCTTCAAGTGCATGACATAAATTATTTTTGGAAACCGCAGTAAATTTTGTCAGGTGCCTCTCCCTTACCCACCTCTTTGTTAGCACGTTCAAAGAACCCAAGAGATAAATGAGACCATACTTGCTCTTGATTTGGAGGCCACAACCACAGTCCTACTAATAGCGAAATTATTTCAGCTTGGAAGTTGTATCTGTATGCTTAACTCTGCAGTTCTCTCTATTATAAGCTTAGCTTGCAATCATTTTGAAATCATTTAGATTCATCTAAATGATTTCAAAATGCCACTTCATCTCTTTAGTCAATATGCCTTTTTTTGCCTAGTTTGCATGCAGGTATAACAATACATTATTTTTTTACTACCATCACATTTCCATAACACTGTTGTATCAATATCCTCATTCATTGTTAACATGCTTCATTTTGTGTATTTTTGCTTTTAAATATTTTACATGTGTGCATATACACTAGAGACCACCCACCCTTTTTATCTAATCGCTTAATCTGACAGCTTGTTGGTTTTATAGAATTTACATCTGTGCTCAGTTACAATTTGAATCCTATCTTTTATGGGGCATACAGACGTTTTATTGACATCCTTAAACAGATAATCTGGTTTAGGTACTCTTTCAAGCTGCCTTAAAACCTGTTTATCTGACTAACAAAGAATTCTCTCTGCATATGGGGTATTCTTGGGTTGCATATAATGATAGTGGCTGTTATATCATGACTTGGGTGATTTCCAGTGTAGGGGGAAGAAAAGGGATCCTTTATTCACCACAAATCCCCAGTCTCCAGAATGGCCCCTTAGAGCCACTAGCAGCCAGCACAAGTCAAAAAAGTCATTAGGCCCCTATTTTGTCACCTCTGAGCTGTACAAAGAACCACCTGGCCACAGCTCAGGATCTGTTCCAGTTATCTTTCTGCAGTCATCTTGCCTCTCTCATACTTTCCCTTGAAGATCTCACTTGCTAATCTTTTTTTTTAGCCTGTTTCCTTCTAAGCTCTCTCTGATCTATTGGAAATGTATTGTCAAAATAAAATATAGTACCAGTCCAAACCAGTGCTGAATCATTCCGTGTTTTAGATGTGATATTTCTCTTAGTATCGCTGCACTGTATGCTTGTTTGTATTATGTAATCTAGGGGTTTTTTTTAAACTGCACGACAATGTACTGAATCTGGAACTACAATCATATCCTTATCTATTTTATTTCCACATAGCTTTCTATTTGCCCATTTGATTATTTTCTTTTACACATACTAGTTTTTCTCTGCAGTGCATCTGGTTTTATTCATGGCAATCCAATTTCTATAGTATTGAGAACAGGAGAGCCTTATTAAAATCTCATTTTCCAAAGTATATTTGATACTTCTTGGCTTTGTATCATCCACAGATTGGTCATAACCTTTATAACAATATGAAGAACATTACATAGTACTGGACCCAAAATAGACCTAACGTTTAGATGTTACTTCCAGTCTACTCTCCAGAACTGCTATCAGGTTATTTTGATTTTAAAAAAATTGGTGAGACCATTTCACAGATGTCTCATCAACCCTCCTTCTCTAGTTTCCTAAAAGGTGTGATATGCAACCAGGTCAGGTAGCTTAATGCATTTTTCTACTCTACTTGAATGGATGCAGCTCCCAATGGAATCAGTAGAAGCTGCTTGTAGTTGAGGCCCATTTGCTCCAGGATGTCTATTATATCTTTTGTCTAATAAGCTTGCAACTGTATCAAATAAATACATTTATTGTATCATGGTACCTTCTCTGCTAACTTCTGTGCTTGAAGCTGAAGATCTGCCTTTGAGTGACTGCTAGATCTGTTCCCTGTCACAGAATCCACAAAGAGCTGAAAATCAGCAACCTGCCTGAAGAGAGAGAGAGAGAGAGAGAGAAAGAGATTGGGAAAATATGTTGAACTGCTATGGAAGCTTACTTCGTAATAGAGATTTCACTTAGGGTGGAATAATTACATTTTGGTGCTTACTCAAAGTCTTCAGGTCAAACCAACAAGTGTCAAAATTTGTTTTTCCTGTCATAGCCTGTTCCCACTATCCTTTGGGGGGGAAAAAACCATGACAACAGATCATAGTTCCCTAAGACTGATGATGGAACTTGTAACAGGTTCTGTATTTCTTCAATAAACACTTATTAATTCAGCTGTCAACTCTGACCATTGTGTGTCCCTTAACGAGTGCAAAGTGAGCAACTTCTGTTCACTTTAAAAAGAAAAAAGGCAAAATCGAACAACATATGATGACTAAAAGGACACAAGCTAAAAATAAATTAAATGCTTTAGCCACACAACCCATGCAAATATAAAGCTTTCCTAAACCTTTTCAAAATGTCTACAATTTCCAGTGACCTTTAAAGGCTTTACCTAATCAGTCAGCAGTATTTCAGAAGTGTATAATTAATACATTGCATCTGAGACAGTCTACCTCACTTGAGGAAACACACTTTAGTTTGAAAATTGTAGTTGTATTAACAGAGTATTTTTAATCACCTCACACAGAGAAGCTATTGGAAAGCAAAGACTGAGAACTGGTAGAATATAGTGAAATTGTCTTGAATATTGGTTAAAGAAATGGTGGTAGACTCCACATCCCCCACTGTGTTGTGCATCACACATGTTGGTCCTTTACCCTGCTCTACTCAGTAGTAGCCTCATTTTGGTGATGTTCTTTATATTTAGGGCCTAATTCTGTTTGATGGATTTGACCATCAAAACACTTAAGTGTGTGCTTAAAATGGATAGTCTCATTGACTTCACTGAGACCACCCATTTCTATCACTAACATCAGGCACTTCCAGGATTAAGAGAATATTTTAAGGAGAAGTTAAGAATCTTTGCAAGTTTATACTATTCAAAAGATGTCTTAGTGCAGAAGACTCTAATCTGCTTTGATATACTTTTTCCCTGATAGTTATAATCATCTTTATATTTAACGCAATGGCATATCACTGTATATTAAAATTTATTCTACTAAAATCCAATTTGCCTAACAATGTTAATAGTATTCACT